GTTCATTGATCTTCCCATTTATCAAGTATTCAAGATGCTCCATGATACCCCTCCGAATCCTCCTGTATCCTCGACGAATTATGCCACAAATACCCATGACGCGCTAACAAAATACTGTTTTCTACCGTGGATATTTCTAACGTCGACTTTGAGCGTACCGGTCACCGGTTATTACCAGGTAGCCAACGCTCTTAACTATAAGATGTATCGTTAGGTATTCGTTCGCGAGTTCGTTATCGCGAACGTTAACCAAATTGCGTCTCCGATCGATACACAGATCGTGAATGTCCTATTGAATTATCGCGCGATAACTCCGAAGTGATTGCGTTATCTCTGTTCACGGTGTTCAGCCAACGAGTAATGTACAAACGAAAGTCGGTGTACGGTGCAACGTGCAGAGGCTGCCGATCAGGAAGTTGCCAAATTTTACCAGGAACGTTTCGATCACTCGAACAGTTCCGTTTCTGCATTATTATTAACCGTAAATTGTAAAACTGTACGATTTCTCGCACGAGAAATGCCAAGTTCTTGTACGACCTACGTACTTTACACGACTAGGATTGTTCAATTTTTTTAGAAATAATTTTTTTGCAAAGATTGAAAAATCTTCTAATCACTAAAAACCAGATATTAGGAACTACTTACGTATAGTCCGGGCCACAATATAGCGAGGTCGTAAATTCGAGTGAGTGTCAAAGTTTACACGTTTCAGCTCCCGAAACAAGTGAATTGACAGAAATACGAGTAGCTAAGGGCCTTAGACCATAGTCAGGGACGTGCGAAGAAATATTTTATCTAGTGTCGCCATTTTTAGAAAGCTATTTTTAGAGATATCGTAACAGGTAAAGGTCTCACTCGAGTCTTTAATTTCTTCATTTACATGCTTATAATATATGCGTGTGGGAAATGAAAAAAGATAGTGCAGCTACGGGCATAGAAAGACATTCAGAAGGGCACCCTCAAGCATGATGTGATGTACGGCCCTAAGTGCCGCAGCAGGAGTCAGTCCCAACCATCAAGAGTTTAGTTTACGACCTCGCTATATTGTGTCCCGGACTATACCTGATCGTAATGCCGCGTAATACTATTAAAAAGAATTATCGATTTCACGACAAATTTTCTGCGACGAAAATCCACTCGATTTTAAATTTGCAACGAACAGCTATTCTTAAAAACTCTTAAATCGACTGTGAAAAAATAATCTGCTTCAATTTTGTCAAACGATGCCGTGAAAATATTATTGACAGCCACGCGTGAGGCTAATTTATCGTTAGCTTTTCTTTCCGTTCTCGCGGCAATATTATCGAAACGTATGAATTTCAAACACAGATTGCAGAGATATTGCAGCTGTATAAATCTATCTTGAAAAAGTACTATTTTCCCCCCGTAAAGACTCTTTAGCGCGATTCTCTGATTCCGCCGATGGCCAATAAAAGATAAAAAAGTCCACTCGTTTCAGTGTGGTCTACCCAGGTTCCATTCGCTCTTTCCGTAGTTCTTTCCTGTAAGCTTCTTCTACTTTTTCATTTATAATTATTTCGTTATTTATAATAAGATGGAAGCACTTCGATCGACACTTTTTTAATCAAAGTATTATTCTGTCATGCAGCTTGCAATTGGTGCTAGAAATTCATATAAATTTTGTAATTGCAATTATCTTCGTTGTCCACAAATTCATTGAAGGCGCTGTTCTGGTTTGTTAACCGCTTTGATTTATATTCTTCGCGTAAAATCATCGCAAAATGCATCTTTTCGGAAACAGAAAGGAATTTCTATTGCCCTGAGACGGTATTTTCCGACGAAGGGTTCTTAAACTCCAAAAACGATGACCAAACCCTGACGGATAAATTAAAAGGGAAAAATGAATATTTAACGCAACTCCATCGATCGAGCGATCCTCAGGTGGGAACACGGAATCGCAGAAACGCAAAAATACGCCGAGGAGGGATGATATTTCGACGGATTGGCAGTTTCAGCAGAGCTGACGACGCGAGCCCCGTGTCTCGGTGTTCGGACTTATCCACTTCGGCGAAGTTCTCGATGTGATCAGAATATAATCGCGAATTATTCGCACGAGTATTGAAACAAACCTTCGTGACGTTGCGAATAATAATTCCGGGGTTGCGGGATGGAGGACACGATCGACACATGTACTTGTTGATCACGTCGGTGTTGGTCGTGTTTCCTTTACGATTTTTATTACTCTCTGACTCACACGCGACGATGCAATTTTAAATGATACGGACGATAGAAAAAAATTCTCACGTAATAATTTTATTACGTTTTTTGCATGTTACGGTAATTAGGATACAAACACTTGGGGAAGATACATTTACTCGCGATCGATCATTCAAACCCGTGCTTTTTAACTACGTATTCTCAACATCGTCCACTTATTTATACGCGTACTCTAGATGTCGACCTATAGGTAGCAAAATGCACGTTAGCATGGCATTTCAGCCATTAAAACGGTTAAGTGTTGTTGGTCAGTGGACCTTGGCAAATATAGAAAAACGATTTACCATTCTCCTCCATTCTTAACTCTCGCGGCGAGAAGATATAATTGCAGTTACCAACACTGACAACTCAAACACGAGATTCCACATGTAATAACAGATGCTAGATGTAGTCGTTGAGAAAAATTGTAATCCATATGTGCTAATAAACTTGACCGAAGATATCGATCACTTTACAGAGAACACTACATACAGATCGGTATTAGATGAGTGTTTACTCATAGCAAAGAGCCTAATTACGACAGAATTTCAATCGCTGGATCGAGTGGATCGTGTGGAGTGTTAGCAGGACACGCGATGAGCTAAGCTAGGCGTGTAAAACAAACTTTCGTCCTAGTTTTACTCGACCAATTGTTCTTTTGATAAACAACGTGGCTAGATCTTGCTTCGTGTAGCACCTTTTCGGGGGGCGACATGTTTGGCCCAGAAAGTTTTCATTCATTGATTCGTTAACTTTTATTAAAGGCGAGATCAACATAACAAACAACACGCATATAGTGACTTAAAAACGTACAATTCAAAATGTAAACGAAGGTTGTCATCCGAAAAGTACCATTTTAATTCGTTAAAAGAAATTCTAATAAATGAATTACGTAGATTGGTGATACGTCTTCTCGTTCGCGGTTTAATTTAATTTAATTCTCCACGTTTATATTTTAACACATTCAGGAACATAACAGGAACAAAATACGTTTGCCTGCTTCTTATACATCTATGTTTACATTATAGATTTTTCATGCGTTTTAATGAAAACGACCGAAAAGGCACAGACGAAAAGCGTTTTAATAAAAGTTGAGCTCGTCAAGCCTACGGGAAATATGAATTTTTTGTAAGATTATTCGATTAATTAGATTAGAGATTGCTGATTAACTTTCGTATCTACCGATTCAGGATTGATAGCATTCATTCATGCAAATAATTCAAGGTCTGATGTTAGATCTAGACTAGGGTATCTAATAATTCAGTACAGAACTAGAACACCTGGAAGAGAACTGCAAGGCAAATATCAGTAGATAAAGTTGGAGTAAGACCAGTTAAATTAAGATCATGTTGCGGTAAATCCAGCATTTTTCCAATACTGTTCTCCATTGATAAACTGTCTCGTGTATTTTGATGACTTCGTTTTTTTCTATAAATGTTTAACATTTTCGAGTTTGCTTAACCATACGAAAGTCAATAAACGTATTTGCTTTCTTGGACAGATAACAAACTACATACTCCTTTTCCTAGGCATAATCTATTGCAAAGCATTCGGACATATCGGAAGGAAACTATGATATCCGGTATCATATTCAACAAATCGCAATTTTAACTCGATGAGATAAGGGGATCCAGACTGAAAAGAATGCAAAGATTCTTATCGGTCCACGTAACAGTGATACACACGCTGCGAATAATCGCGTTCCTCGGTGAGTGAACTTTGCGAGCCACTTGGCAGTTGCCAAAAAAATCTGTTCAATTCGTCGCCCGTGCCAATTGGCGTGCGGCTTCTTAGGTAGAACGTGGCCACTGGTTCTTCCTTGATCCTAACAGAGGTACGCGAACAAAAACTAATTCGTGAACCTGTAGATTCCAAACAACGACCCGATACTTATGGTCCTCTGACGATTCAGGGACCCTCGAGAGACTCCAAAACGTTCTCCACGATACTCGGTCACCTTCTTACCGAGTGTTCATCCATCTCCTTCGAGAGAATCTTTACGAATCAGCTGGCTCGGAAGCAGACCTTCGCGTTACGAATTTCTATATAAAAATATATTTTCCTTTCCTCATCGTGTTAAAGTAAGTTAAAGTTGCACTACTTTCCGTCGTACACGTTTGTACTACGATTGACTCAATACTGCACTCGAATATAATATAGACAATATAGGATATGAAATTGTTTAGAAACACCCGCACAGGACGATAAATACAATTGCATAGATTGGACAAAGTAGTTTTTAAATACTGTACTGCAAAAGGGTTAACGAACTATCGGATAATCGAGGACTGTCCAAGTGATTAATAGCGCAGTGTTTAACTTAAAATCTACTAGATAAGGCTGACTCGTGACTTCGGCTGGCACAAAAATTGGTGTTCCCGTGCAAAGAGTTACATTGCGTTTCGTTCTAGTTCTACTAGTTGAGTCATCGGTGGGTGCTTATCTGGCGGATCATATCTGTTCAAACTAATTAATAAAGTATCGAGTAATCGAGGACTGTTTAAACAATTAACAGTGTCACGACCAAGACAGGATCCGTTAGATAAGCTTCGCCGGCGAGTACGACCGGTGGATCTGGAACGAAACGCAATAACGCTCGTCTCGCCCCCACTGAAAGATAGTAGTTATTGCACGGGCAGGAGTTTCCTTCGATATACAGGGATTTTCATTGTTTTATAAAGGCGATGCCCCGGAGCAGCGAAGGCTACCGCGGAATCTGCGGACACCGATGAATCCATCATCGTCGACGCGGCCGTTTAGCAGGACGGGAACAACAAACTCACCTCGAAGGCATTCGCGAGGCTGGCCGCCGCTATTAGCAGGAGGAACAAGCAACTCTTCGGCGAGACGAAGTCCCTCATCTTGTCTGCCGGCGAAGAGTATTCCCGCGACCTCTTCGCCCTTTACCACGCCGTCTGTCCACTCTTCGATCCCGTACGCGTTGCACTTTGGTCGGTTTCTCCGTCGGGTGACCCGTCAGCGGGAACGCATCACGAGGTCGGGTCAGGATTTAGGTTCTCCGCGATCCCTTTCAAGGGCACTGTCGACGACCGCGCGAAATCGAACTCTGGGGACCGGCGGAAAATCGGTACGAGAACCTCCGTGGAACTGGTTCGAGCGTGAGACCCGGGAACACGCGGCACCGTACAAGAGCGCACCGGCGTTCGGTAGCGTCTGAAAGGCCGAGCGCGCCGGCAAGATAAAACTTTTTCAAAAGCCCCGGTGCTTTTTCCCTCTCCACCGGCGGCCAGTTTCAGCCGCCACTCGCGTTCCCTTGCGGTCCGTCGTTCCGTCTCGCGCGCTCCCGCCGCCCGACTTCCTCTTTCTCTGGCTTCGCCGCTCTCTCCAGCAGGAAGGTATCCCGGTTCGCCTCTCTCGCACGCGTGCCTCGCCCGGTCTCTCTCGTGCCCTCCGACCACGACGGGATTCATCCCTCTCGCACCAACGGCCAACAACGACTCCGTATCGTTCCAATGGCGCGATCTCGCGGCCTCCCCCCCTCCCCACCCCACCCGCGATCGCCCACTCTCCTCCCTCCCCTCCGACGCTTTTACTGACTCCTTCGGCGCGTCTTTCTCGATTTCATCCTAACCGCTCTCTCCCTCTCGACACTCTCTCCTTTCCCGTTTCTTCCACGGAATCGTCTCTCTCTCCTGCTCCCTCCCCCACACCCGCGGATGTATTTCGCGACGATGTTTCGCTCTCGCTCGAGAACGCTCGGCCGCACTTTTTCTATCCCCCACCATCGCGGGAGTCAAAGTCGCCTCACAATGCCGGCTCGCACGAGGCAAGGAGGACCGGAGAAGTGGTTACACGGGGTATTTTCTTTTTTTCATTTCTCTTTTTAATGAGCAACGAATCGGATTGTTGCGTCCCGGCGAGATGTCATGTGAGACGCCCCGGGTTTTTTTCCTTTTTAGCGGATTCGGGACCGGGGCGAAGGGGGGATAATCACTGAATCAGACTCGGAAACAATGGGGTTGGCGGGTGTTTCGGATGCGCGCGCCTCGGAACGAATTGAATAGCGCGAGGTTCGCAGTCACGACTTGCAAATGTTGCGTAGAATTTGAAAATTAGTTTATAAATATAACAACCCCGTAGTTCTATTTGCCAAGGTTCGACCGTAATTTGCATCCAGAAATCAAAAGGGTCGCGAATCGTTGATCCTCCGTATTTCTCTGACGCCGATTCTGTTCCGTCGTGCATAGTGGCGCCAGTGACGGTGCAAAGGGTTAAATACTGTCGGATGCAAGTGCTTGGAAATCCGCAAGAAAGAGAATCGAACGGCCGTCACCAGGGACGAGTCACCCGGGCAGAAAAAGGGGATAAAAAAAAATAGCGTGGCATCGTGCAAGCGTGCGTTCGCCGACGCTGATTCCCTCCTTTTCCCGTCTAGCAGAGCCTCTCCGTCCGACTCGAGGATCTGTTGCGCTCAGCAACAGATGCGAGGGTGATCTTTTTTAAACGAGTCAACCACGCCGCGCCTACGTATTCGCTCGCGGTTTCTTCATGACCATTCCAACCAACGAAAGACGCATCCGTTTTGAAGACAGATTCTGGAACCGCGCAGACAGAGTAATTATAACAGACGCCTCGCCGCGGGACTCGGGTCTTTTAATGCCCGCTGTCGTTCGACAAAATTAGGAATATACCGGGAGCGGTCGTTTTTACGGTATTCCCCGTTCGAAAGTTCGATAAAAACGACTTCCTTTTTGTCCAAAGTCTCAGTCAGTAACATTCAAACTAAACGGACGCTTCGAGTCAGTGTGTTTTAACCAGTCAGATGCGGTGACCTCTTTTCGAAGCGCGCACTTGTTTGTTTTATTTCGTTTCGACCTAGAAAAGTTCTAAACATATTGAAATTTACGACTATAGGTTTAATTTTCGCTAGTAAAGCAAATGGTAACTAATTTTACGCATGACGGTTATAATCGTCGAGACACAAAATACTGCTATTTCTCTATGACGAATATAGTCGTCAAACACAGATGGCTGGTTAAAATGGGGGCTTCATTATTTAGGAACTGTAGGAATATAACTTGTTCGTCGAGATTTGCTGAAAATGGGTAGGAGAATTCTCGCTTACGATGACTGCATCGCGAATGTAAACGAAGCCGGTCAGCCAAGGAAAAATGTCCAAATAAATGTTCTGAATACAAGGCGAACCATTCAACGATTTATAGTCTGACAGCTGGATTCCCCGATTGCGTGTACCCTTCGCTAAAATCTAGACGCTGCTCAATTCCTTTTTCTTTCATGACAAGACTCTTTATTTTCTGTCTTAGTTATATATTTTTTCACTTGCATAACTATTCAATATAGTACGAATTTTCCGAGATCACAGAGTCGTCGATATTTTTTTATAAATATACATGAATCGTGAATAGTGAAATAAATCATTTATCTCGACGGTTAGGTCAACAGAAAACGCGCTTAACCAGTACACTTTTATTATAACGATTTCTGTTTGTTGCTCTTATCCCATACTCTTACGCGCCGAATGTCGTTCCTTTTAAATGCAAAACTTCCCTTCAAAAAGCGACGAATAAAGGAACTGGAACTCGGACGAGGATCCTGAAATGTACCACGACTGAAGAAGTTTCGCCGACCACGATATTTCGCGACAAGAACAATACATTCAATTCACTTTTTACGCGGTAGATGCGTTCCAAAGAACACCGAGTAAACAAAGATATATTGTTTATGGCAAAGTAGAGAATTTGTTCATGAACTTTCAAAACCCGTGTATAAAACAAAAAGGAACTATTTGTAAAAACAAACTCCAATGAATGATGCAAACAGATTTTTATGAATAGCCGAATACATTATTTTTTAACATACATTCTCCTGAAAAGGTATTAAGAATTTAGAAGACCGGAAAGAAGCAATGTGAAAACGACTTGCCCTAACATGCATTCTGTCATTCAATTCGGTTAGTTCAATTAATCCAGTTGTCATGCTGTGCGATGTTACACGGTTAATTGAGCGAAAAGAATTTGTACGCCAAGAATCAGTTAGTGTCGACCCATAGACGATCTTTTATCTACTTTAGTGAGAAACAGTTATACTGGAGCTTATATTTCATCAATGACAACCCCCTAAACGGTATTAAGTCTATTATAAACCTCATCTGCGTTTCTAAAAATTAATTCGTTTCTAGTCATTTGATGATTATATTTCTTATTTATCATACGAACTAGAGGAATATGCAGAATCTTCATTACCATCAGCTGTAATACACCAACCAGAGACGAGGTATACGGATCGTCTGTGCGTACACCTTATAGATTTTCGTGGCCTTTGACTGCCATACCGACCAGAAAATTCAGAGGTGATTTTAGCGTCCTCTTCTCATGGATGGCGGTCAGTTGAGAAACTATTCACTGAATTAGTATTGATAGGCAAACAGCTATAGTGTTGCATAAATACATGTGAGTTGACTATGGAAGGGATTAAAATTCATTTCTGAATCTGTTGGTAACGTTGCGACTGACACGAAAATGGTAATGGGGTTTCGAGACCCCATCAAAATGGGCTGAAAAAATACATTGGGTGAAAGATCTACTCGTATACCTCGTCTCTGGCAATACTCTAGAATCTTTGATAAATCAATGAGAATCAAAACTAACCTAGTGAAGAAGTTCTATATTTATGATGATCTATGCAAAGCGGATCGCAGCCAATTTGCTAATATTATTTAGTTTTTAATTAATAATTACGTTACCCAGGTAAGCGTGATACGATTATTAATTAAACGCTAAATAGTATTATCCAGGTCTCACCACGTGGAGGTTGCTGCGACTGGAGACCCACCCTAGCCTCGCCCCAACCACTCTTCCTTTGGCGAGAAATTCGAATACCTATCTAAGGGAGAAGTTATCGAAAAGTTAGAAACGAGCTAGAAAAGGAGAGTTCTTAAAAGAACTGCCCAATCAAGAGATGAAGAACCTAACAAAATGTCAATACATGTGAGATGACACACATGTTTTCTAGAAACGAAATTGGAATGTACAACTGCACGTATGAATCCTGATTACTAAATTATCAATATGTACTTTATTATTAATTGTTCCTTCTTAAATAAATACTTGCATTATGACAGTGCCTAACAAGACACTCGTACAAAACGAAGAAAGGATCCTGAAGATCCAACTAGAAATGTGCAACTGCACGTATGGACCTTGCATATTAGAATACTAATATGTATCTTAATATTAATCATTCCCACTTAAATTTACGCACACGTTTCGGTAATATTTAATAAACGGCAGGAGAACGCTTTTTTATCTTATAATCTATATACATTTGTACTTATATTCTAACGCAATCTGTAGAAACATGACGAAATATGAGGAAATATTTTCTTCTTGGTGTCTTCATCAATCCCACGATGTTTTTCTAAAACATACACTCATATACAATAAATATAACCGACATGAAACAAAGAAATACGACAAGATATTTTCTTCTTGGTGTCTTCGTCACTCCCACGATGTTTTCCTGAAACAAAAACTCATAACCAATAAAATATATAACTCATATAAAACAAATAAATATGAAAAAATATTTCTTCTTGGTGTCTTGATTAATCCCACGATGTTTCCCTGAAACATAAATCAGACAATAAATAAAATTGTACAAAGAAACTAACTACATCAAGCTACTTCAAACTACAATAGAGTGGCACATATGGGGATGAAGTTAGACGTTTTAAATATCGCAACACTACGGGGCAACAACGCGATAAATCAACAATCGCAACGCTAATTTATAATAGAACAAATTCCAAACGCGACTTGTAAGAATAAAAGCAACCCGCGAATGGTAATTATTCGCAACACTACCCTGAAAAGCAAACGCGAAAAATAGTAATTCGCAATCGCGTTTACTAAAAATTCGCAACGCTATTTTTAAAGTAAACGCCCGGTTCCTAGGTTTGCATAAAGACAATCACGAATCGTATTTATTCGCAGCACTAATATATCAACGCGGTAAATATTTGTTCGCAACTCTACGAGCAAACGCGAACATTGTATATTATTCGCAACTCTAACTTTAATCAGGGGCTATTGGTACATGTACATAGACATGTACTGGCCACAAAATAAACTAACTACTACTAGTACTACAATTGGGGTAGAATTTGGGCATTGAAAATATCAGAACGCTAAATAAAAAATCGCACGATTAATCAAGATCGCA